ACTGTGTCTCCACTTGCCCTGGGGAGTGTAGGTACTTGCACCTCTAGCAGAGCCCCTGTGAGACTGGACTAAGCTATTCTGGAAAGAGTTAAGTTGGGGTTATTTTAAGTTACAAAACAAGGCAAACTTATGTTGGATTTTAGAGATGGTGCTTGAAATCTCTAAATTGAAGCAAAATCATTTATTTCATATTTTTTCAATATTGTTTTGAACAAACTGGAACTAATTGAAACATAATTTACTAGGTTTTTTTTTTTAAATGAAAAATAAATGAATTTGAAGAAATACAGTTGTTTGCACTCAAATCCTGTTTTATTACTGTGTATTTACTTTTCTAATGTTTGTTTGGCTAATATTTACCACAATGCATAATTACAGTAAGATAATAAGACCTCTAAAGCATGACACATAATTACAGAGAAAAAGAGAATGCTGACTCATAAAAAATATGTTTTTCCACGTGAGTGGATTCCACTGTCTTAAAAGTCTAAAGAGTATTCTTAAGTAAGATTTTAGCTATGATTGTATTTCAGTTTAAGTGAAAGAAATGTTGAAATAAGTTGGTTCTTGAAAATTCTAAAATCCCAAGAAAAATTGCTGTATGCCAGGCGCTTTTCTAGGTGCTTTTACCTGCGTTAGCTCATTTAATGCTCATGATATCTTACATGGGGTGGATGCTATTACTACATTCCCATCCTAAACACAGACCCTCTCTCAGTTACAGGTTAAACAGCTAGAGAGTAGCAGACCTGCAATATAACACTCTCAAAGCTATTTTAAAACTTGAATAAAGCAGGTTACTAAAACAGTTGTCAGGAGATGATTTTATCCTATGATCCAGGTAATTTTTAAATAGTAATAGCTGTCATTTATCATGCTCCTGCTTATGTGTCCAACTGTGTGCTAAGCACTTTGTACACATTGTTTTATTGAGTCCTGAACATGCCTGTGAGGTAAAGCTTGTATTATCCTTGCTATAGATGATACAGCTGAGGATTAGGGAAGTTAAGTAACTTGCTGAAGGTCATATCGAACTAGTGAGTTGCAAAGCTAAAATTTAAACCAGCTATGTTCACTTCTGCTGGGCTGCTGTCTCTGTTATAATTCACTACCCCCGTGCTTAATCATCTTTTTCTCCTTCCTAAATTAAATTGTTGGTAATGAAAAATGCTGATCAAGAAAAGACAAATGAGTTTTTATGTAGAAGAAAATTGTAATATTAAAATATAAGATAAAAATTTTTTGGTTGTCATTTAAAAAAAATTTGTCAAGAAGCATATCTTGTACCACATTCCAGAGTGTATTCTAATATCACAGAGTTTTGACATTCTGATATAGACATATTTTGTCTATTATTGGAAGGCTGTGCTGCTAGAATAACTTTTTGCTTAGGAAGGTGAAATCCTAAATCAGGGATTTCATTTTTGCATAGAGAAGAAATCCATTTATAGTATCTATTCAATTTGAATTATCA